TTCATGGACACATTTCACCATTCCTCTCCCCGCGCTGTGCATCCCCGGAGCAGTTGGCAAAATCCATCTCAGGCCGAAGGGGGAAGACAATCTTACGGCTGTCTAGTGCGATTCTTTCCACAGGCACTGAGATGGGAGGAAGGGGAGTGGACCCAATGGAGCTACTGTTTTTTTTTTTTTTCTGAATGGGTCTGTAGCTGTGCCAAAGCCAAAGCAGCACCTCTTTTACCCCACAAAAGGATGACACAGGCTGGGTAAGCAAGCTCTCACGTGGACTAATGCTATAGCCAAAGCAATAGCCAAATTAGTCAAAAGATTAATCATTATACAAATTCGATAAGTAAGGATGAATGCAGGACGTCACGATTTTGCACAAACATTCTCTGATTATCAGTTAAAAACACATTATACATATACATTATTAATACACATGCACAGCGGTTTTCAGAATTATTTGTTAAAGTTTTCATGAAAAAAGCAATGTTTTAATGCACTAAAAAAGCGATCGCGGTAAACCCGGAAGTAGCTATTATCATTAACTGAACATTATAGGACACATCTGCAGAGGATCTGATTATGGATATAGGTTCAGTATATAAATTATTATGGATATAGGTTCAGTATATAAATGATTATGGGTATAGGTTCAGTATATAAATGATTATGGATATAGGTTCAGTATATAAATGATTATGGATATAGGTTCAGTATATAAGTTCCAGAGCCTAATGGAGGTTTGATTCTGAGGCTCAGCGAAAACAAACAACTGAGCGTGAGCAGCTACGAGCATCAGCGCCGATGATTGACAGCCCTTGGCATCACTTGATTGGTTAAAGTGGACAGCATGTGAATTCTGAGCTATAGCTAAGAAAAGGGAAGGCTGAACTTACCCGTAAAATTAGAATTCATAAAATGACTTATTTTATATCAACATTTAAGGCCAGGAGGTCAGTTTAATACAATTCTTAAAATGTGTAATTCATTTAGAGTTCCAGACTATCACTTTAAATGATTCGGCGAGCGGCGACGAACAGGCATTTTGGCTCGAGAGAACAGTGAGCAGTTAATAATAGTGAGTAATGCTTCTGATTGACAAATATTTTACTTATTTTTTCACATTGACAAACTGGGTTTAAACTACACAGCTGTTTTTGTGAAATGTACACTTTATTACACACAAAACACAAACATTTTATTAATTAGGTTACGCTTTATTTTTTGTTTTGTTTTTTAAACCGTTGACCTGCTGCTGTCAGCTGATGTACACTGTTTTAGGGAGTTTATTATCGGGCTATGTTTGAAATAGATTTGACTATTCATGATTTTATGTCTCTTGATTGTTTTCTCCTTGTACGATGAATAAAGTATCGGTCTATCATTCTATCTACCACTAAAATAACCGTTAAAGATGCAGCTTTATAGGACGACATGCAGTGTGGTCTGGTGTTCAACTCTGCTTCGAGATGGTGACTTTTTGTGTGGAGTTTGCATGTTCTCCCCATGTCTAGATGTCGGCGTAGGCGCTCCGATTACCCCCACCACTAAAAACATATACAATAGAGATCCGGCATGTGCTTCCTCTCAGGCGACTCCGCTCCCATCACTGTGTGGAGCGAGAGGAAAAAAACAATAGTATAGTGGTTTGTGACTCTGGTATGTGAACTTATATACTTATATTTGAGCGTACCATTTATGGCCTTTCATAAATTGAAATTGTAAAGCCAAAACTATCAAATAAATATGTAAGCCCACAATATTTTCAATCACCAAATTCTCCTCTTTCACTCTTGATCTGCACGAACAACCACTACTATTACAGCTACACAAATATCATGCTGAAATCATTCCTATCCCATATCTGTAAAAAGCTTGGGCCTGTTTGAATACAGTGCTGGAGCCGTTCATTTGTCCTTTCTGGCTCTAAGCGACCACCACGGTTTGTTCCTCCTCTCATCCTCGCTGTTAATCTACCAGCTCTGTGCCTGCAGCCCTGAGCAAACACCGGGGACAGGCTGGTATCACTTCATTTGGCTTCATTATTCTGCTGCTTTTGTGCACGGAGAGTGAGGTTTTGCGAGGTCCCAATTGCCTCTTTCACATGTACAAAAAAAACCAAGTGTGGCAGTGACAGCTGACGGGATCATTGCACTGTAATTAGCTCTGGACCCCGGACAAGCTCTCAAAAACTCACAAAAGACGGCAAATGTATGCGCAGACGGAAGACAAGGCCAGAGGTTGGATTACGGCTGGGACATGTAAGCCCGTTCCAAATCAAGGGCTTTAACTGACAGTAACAATGCACTGTCTATGCTGAGAAAATTATAGTTGTCATATATATTCATGAGCATCCTGTTTTTTGACATTTTGAGGACTTCTCATGTACTGTAAAAGACTGAATATATTAGTTTTAAATTGTTATTCCCAAAGAAGTTCTAATTTTTTGTTGATAAAGGTGGCCCTCCAGAAGCAGCTCAAAGCTCTTTTCAAAATATATAAATGCAGAATTAGTTAAAAATAAAATAGGTGTTCTTTTTCCTCAGTGTTTTACAGATCACTTTATTTATACTCGAAACAAGCATCATTTACAACAACATTTGACCGTTAATATGAGCATGACAAATACCTTTATTTAAAATCAGAAGAAAACTTTTGTGGCTTGTGTGCACCACGGTGAATGGCTCAGAGGTCCCGCAGCTCTCAGTCCTGCTCCATCCCCTCAGCCCGGTGTCCTGTATTTAACAGTGTATGCACAGCTTTTGACAGCTGCAGCAGCACTCAGACCCACAGGTCACACTTTAGCAGTCATGAGTTCAGGTGGTTAGAAAAGTGTTTAAAGGATAAGTGTATGTGAGGTTTACACTAAAATACTGGGATTTGGCTTCTTTCTGGTTTTAGAACGCAAACTTTGCGATAAACTTGGGATCAGTGTAGTTTTAACAATCATTCAGCTTACAAAACAGTCAGTAATAATGATAGTATTTGTAATGATAACATTTTTTGTCCTTGATTTTTCATCAAAAAGAGGTGTTCTCCAGGAGTTAGTCCTGGGTCTTGTAAAATTATATAATATCATAGGACCTTAATAAAAATATCTAAAAAAATGTGCATGTGATTTGAACTTTTATAGCACCTAAAGGCAAATTCATTCCTTTCTCTGAACCGTCCATCATCCACGGGGATGCTGGGTAAACTGCAAGACGCAGACTGGTGCCTGAGGACAATCTCCACATGTCGAGATGTGACTGACTGTTGCCTCATCATGTGTGTGGTATATTTTTCTACCTTTGCTGAATATCTCACTTTTCAAAAACATATTTAAACTTTTAACCCAACAAACCCATTTGCCTGCAGCTTCAAGCATCCGATTGAATTATATTTTCAGTTTGAAATGGTGGATCTACTTTTGGTAAATTGTATTGATCCTCAATAGCACCTTGGCAAAATGTTCAAAGCTAATGCCATTTTTTTTTTCAGCAAGACTTTAAATCTGGGGTACCTACATTTCAAACCATAAAAAAACATGTTTTCTTCTATAGTGTAAGACATAATCATCAACTTACAGAAATAAATTAACTTTTGAACAGAATTCTAATCCTCAGAGTTTCACCTGTACTCTCAAGCTCAAGTAGAAACGACCAAACAACATATTTGTTCTTTATAGATTAAATCGATGAACACATGAATAGAGGGGGCTGTAAACATACATTGCCACATCACACCTGCCTCTCTGTGAAATCTATTAGTCTATAAGTGTGAGATTTGGCACTTGCTCTGTGCCATAAATCACAAAGTGCATGACTCCGCTCCAGGGTGGCCCACTTATTCCAGATATTAAACATGAAATATGCTCTGGGGAGACAGTCCGACACTCATCTGACGCATCCGTCCACAGACACAGGTGTGATCAACGCTCTGGAAATAACACGGCAGCACAAATCACTTTGTTTTGAGGCAATTTTGTAAACACTGCTGACGAGAAATGGCTTGGACATGACTTTTTATTGGATGAAAGGCACCTTTGAATAGAATTTGGGAAAAGTCTTATCTGTGGAACAAAATCAGCAGAGCAAGTTTTTTTCTACCCATGAGGACGGTAGAATGATGCACCAGAGACATGTTGAGTGATACAGATTCGACTTGTTTCTAAGCAGTAAGAAAATGTTTTTTTTGGTCTGTTGATGACAATGTGAAAGCACCTCAATGGCTTTTTTTAACCCCAAGTATTTACCCTGAAACCCCAACCACAGAGTAAAATAGTCCAATTAACATATTTCAGTTTGTGATGCTGTAGCAAACTGTAGACAAGGGCCTGTAGTTTCTGTAATCACTTCATCAGAGTATAATTTACACCAACAACACAAAGTCTAGTCGAGATAATTTGGGTTTAAGCTAATTATAAAATGCGATTGCTCAGGAGTAGGGAAAGATTAGGTTAAAGCTGGGGTACCTAACTTTCAGATCACTAAATGACAGAACTATGTCATGAAATCCATCTATTGCTCTCAAAAACACTTTGGTTCTATAATTAGTTTTCACATGCTTGTATTATTGACCTCTGTTGCATTTTTAGATAAGCTTTGTCGGACAAAAAAGTGAAAAGAGAGCACCCCCTTCACGCAGCCAATCAGCGCTCAGCCCAAAGAGTCAAATAGTGACTCATAAAGCTGTTTTCTGATTACTGGTATGACTCGTTCAAATTCAACATTTTACTTTTCAAAACTTATCTTTCTGCTGGGACAAACGACAGGGATTATTCATGGCACAATAAAGTTAGGGACCCCAGTTTTAAGGTTAATTTAAGTTTAAATATGATAAGCTTTATTCAGACCAAAGTTCTAACACTAACAAATACTAACTGGCTGGGCGCATTTAGAGGCATGTGGCGGCTTGATATCTTTCTCAAAGTTTGATGAGCATTTGAATGAATAAATTGAGTAGTCCACCTTTACCTACTAGCCTTGATCCCGGAGAGCCCTCCACCAGGTCACGAAGCTCGAGTGTCAGCCTCCTCTCCTCTGACAGTGGGCTTTGAAGCAGGAGATCTGAGCCTGTACCCAGTCCATGACCCGTGCTGACAGGTGATCCAGGTGAGAAGACAGGGGCGCAGAGAGTCCCGTGGGAACATCAGCCACGTTTACCGTCCCAGAGTGGACGCCCTGGCTTTGAAACAGACACAGAGCGAGGTACAGTTTGTGAGGATGAGGATGCAGGAGTATTGAAGAAGTCAAGAAAGGAAAGTTCTAGATTTGCCCGATGCTCAAACCCTTTTGTTAGCGACGCAGTGACCATGAGAATGAGCCACATGGCTGCCCATAGTTATCACGAGCAAAAACACCATAATACTTTTAATGTTTAATGGGATTGGGTTTCCAAAACTGAAATAAAGGCAACTCAATAATTGTGTTCATTGTGACAAAGCATGTGACTCTCGCTGCACATGTTCCATTGATTTGCTTTACACAAAGTGAGTCCTGTCTGCATGTTAATGTGTTGTGTGTGTGTAAGTATACACACACACAACACACACAAACCCAAATGAGACACAAGTGTGATGCCAATTCTGCTTTCGGATTCATTAATCTGCGTAAGAACCAAAATATTCTATGTGGACATAAATGATGCATCCTCATTTCATTTTGATGAATAAATCTACATTCTATAAACTTCAGAGAATGTTTAAAAGTGGAGTTTGTGCCTTGAGACACAGATCAGAATCAAAGATGGAGATTTTTGACATTTCCATCTTACATACTGTGCTACTACAGCATGTCTGACCTGCCTACAGGTGAAATCAGGAGCGTGACCTGGTGGACCAGGCCTGCACGTATGACAGGGTTGATATTTGGCATCTGGTTCATTCCTCCTCCTCCTGTCGCCCTTTGTGTAACCGACCAGTAGGATTCTCGTCACAAGATTCCACAAGAAAATATCTGCTCCCCAGGAACAGATATTGTGTTATGTTAAATTACTTAAACTGCAAAGAGACTTATAAAATAGTCTATACAAAATAATATGGAAATATAAAAAGAATTAATAGCAATATTTTAATTGGAGTGTCCATTTTAAGTACCAATTTTAATGCAGTGTTTACTCAAAGAGTTTCTTCTTTCAGTCCAGAGGATGATCTAACTCTGAGCTGGAATAAGTGTCAAGTCGGTGTTGTCCATACAGCAGCTTGTCAATGTTGTGAGTCAGCGTTTAGTCCGGGTTTCTGAGGAGCCTCAGAGCAGACTGAGCTGCAGAGACACATGCAGGCACCATAAGGACATCTGGTTCAGCATTTCTCTAATAAATTAATATTATCAACGGTTCTGCACAAATCATTATTCCATCAGTGAAAGTCTCTGATTGGCTGTCTTCGGATACTACAGCCTTTAAAGTTCCGTTGCCTGCGTGCGCATGCCCGACATGTGCACGAGCCTGACAACGCAACATTTGTAAACAGCGATGTTTACAAATGACGCGACGACGCCCCCGTGTGTCGAGCCCATAATAGTTCCAGCAGTAGAAGTTGTAATAGGCTGAGTATTATTAGTAACAGTAGTATTAAACCTGTGATGTAGTATTATTATTGGCTGTCATAAACATATATATCAGTGGTGGTGTAAGCTGGTTGGTGTTTTTTGTACATTTACTCCGTACCCAGTGGTGTTAAACTCCAGTGTCTTGCCTTTAGCTTCAACTGAGGCCCCATGATGATCACAAGTCTCCCATCACAGTACTAACCAGGCCATGTGTCGCTTAGAGTCTGATATCAAACAGGATCAGTCTTTTACTTCCAGGTCTATAGTACTGCAAGTAATCAAAGTATGTTGTATAAATTGACTCCCACTGATGTCTCCTGTTGTTGTGTCCTTGGGCAAGATACTTAACCCCACTTTGCCTGAAGCCCCCGCTGGAAGATCAAGGCTCCTGAGGACTCCCTGCCTGCAGGAGGATCAGAGAGGGACTGGTGCTATGTGGACTGGGTGCAGCTCTGATTAAAGGGGATGGATGGATGGATGGATGTATAAATCGTAGTAGTTGTCAGATCTAGTGACTTCATCCAAAACATTACAGCATCAGGACGACAGCAGTAATGTAGGCTTGTGTAGCAGTAGTAAAAGGACAGCAGCGCACTACACTTGTGTCGGGCATACGATAGTGAGGTGGCGCCACCCAATGGTAGGAGGCAAAGAGTGCATACAGAAGACAAATGGCAAATTTGATCAAACAGTAGCAGTAGTACCAGGACGACAGCAGTAGGACATGGGAGAAGACAGACAAGCATTAGTAGGGGGTCATGGTTTAAATTGAAAATACATTTTGTTTTCAAATTGATTTATTTTGGTCCTTAAAAAAACAAAATTAATTTACTAATTGAACTCACAGATGATAAAATTTTGACTGAACAACAAATTATTATTATGTTCATTTCAGAACACGCATTGAGAAGGCACATCTGAAAGCCTGTGAGAGCTATCAAAATCATGACGTCATAAGGTCACGTTCAGACAAAGTGCTGAGTTGCTGAAAGTTGTGCGTATCGTAATCGTACCACTACACTGGCCTCCGCTGGCTGGAAACGCTCATGGCAGCAGTTAGGGCTTGGTTCCTGATTATTTGAAGTGTTCTAAACGCTCCGTCACATGTGCTCCGGGTGGCTCTGGAGACACGTGATGAACTCCTCCACGGCTTTGCCCTCGAAACAGATCAGGTACACGGCTGCAAACAGGGGGAATCTGCAACACAAAGCACCTTTCGTTTATGTCACTAATATTTTAACTTTGACCTGAGGGTTAGCAGAGGACACACTTCTCCACCAGGCTCTTCTTCTGCAGGATCTTGTAGACCTCGGCAGATGTCTGAGGGCCCTGCAGCTTCTGACCGTTCAGCATCTCTGCCTCTAGCTCCGCAATGGACTGCAGACAAGTCACATGAGGGAGAAGGTAAACAAATGGAGGTATAAATGAGTTAACCGCTTATGTGAATGACCATTTATTTGCATTAAATATGGAATAAATATTGTATATCTATGTCTGTTAGCAACATAACTGCATAAAAACGCCAGATTATCTCTTGATTTAAAATGTTTTCTCCCAGAGTCGCACTCACAAATGCATTCATTCACCTTGAACTATTGCGCATGTTTATACAGTAGTGGTAGGGGAAACCGGAGCAACTGGAGGAAACTAGCGCAGATACAGAGAGAATATGCAAACTCCACACAGAAACGGTTCGTCTGGAGGTGTTATTGACACCTCGATGCTGTGAAGCAGAAGTGCCAACTACTGCTACAGTGTTAAGTTATGTGCACAAAATGGTATGTTATGCTTTGGTTCGACTGTTACTTTTACCGGGATTGTGTTCAACAGCTACAAGGTTGTATCAGGAGTCCAGATGCATACTACAGGTATGTTCAAATTAGTTCAGAAAACCTCAAAAATGGAACAAGGAACAAGGAGATGCTGGAATTTTTTGAGGAGCTGTGCCTCTCTAAGTTAAGTACAGATGTTGTTTCAAATGTGTGTAGTTGGACCCTGGTGTCGCACTGCCATCTACAGGTGGGTGTAGCTCAGTGAGAAGCGGACCACTCCACATTCCGTGGGAGCCAACAATTCAACATTAATAATATTCAAGTTCTTTTTGGAAGTGGGAACAATATTGTCATAATGTAAGAAATGCACTTGTCTTTGTAGTTTTAGCAACACACTCGTAAACAAACAAACTTATGTTTAGTTGCTGCACACATGCTACAATAATCCAGTGGTCCGTGTACCTTCCTCGTGCGCACAAAGGCCTCAGCTACTTTGCGGTTCCTCCCTCCGTAGCAGGTGGTGATGAGGTCAGCCACTCCGCAGCTTTCCAGGAAGGTGCTGGAGCTCACGTCCCCAGAGCAGAACATGCGAGCGAAGGCCACCATCTCCATGAGGCCCAGCCGGATCACCGCCGCTTTGGTGTTGTCGCCAAAGCCCAGGCCGTCGCAGAAGCCCGCCCCCACGGCCACGATGTTCTACCCGAGACACACACTATGTTCTCAGAAACATATTTATCATAAAAAACTGCTTATGAGCCTTTTCCTGTTAAAAGGTTTATACTGCGCTGCAACACTGGCATTTCCCCATGTGGGACTAATAAAGGGTTGACAATCATATCTTCAATGACAAAAGGAAGGACACCATTTCAATACTCAAATAAGTAAAAATAGACATGTTTTATTTATTTAATTAACCATTAAAATGCCAGGAAAGTTCCCTAATGTGATGTCAGCGTAGATTTAAATGTTTTCCTCCCAGTGATTATCCATTAATAACCAACAAACACAGACATAAATGCAAACACACACACACACACACACACACACACACACACACACACACACACACACACACACACACACATTACCTTGAGCGCGCCGCAGAGCTCCACCGTGTCGCACTCGTTTATCACGGCGATCCTGAAGTTTGGCGTCTGGAACAGCTCTTTGAAGATCACTCCACTGAGCAGGTTCTTGGACCCTGTTGCAGAGAGACAGTAGTTCCAAATACAAGCTTTTAAATCGAGTTTAAGGATACAGAACCGACAGACGGACGGACAGGCGGCCTTACCGATGGTGGTCTCACAGAACTTCTCCTCTGCCACCTCACTGGCGATGTTGGCTCCCATCAGAACACTCACGTCTATGTCCAGCTTCTCACGAATGATGTCGGAGATGAGTCTGAGTCCGGCCGGCCCTTCGTCTATTCCCTACAGACGCAACATCAACACAAGAACGGTGACAAAAGCCTGTTCAAGCTGTTTTCTTATTGTTAATACTTTTCTTAATGATAATGTTTTTAATAATTAAGTTATTAAGGAAAATGAGTTGGACATAGTAGCTCACAGTGCATTGTGTATGAGTTTGCGTGTGTTTGTGAGTGTAAAATCGCAGCAAAGTTAAAATAGCAACGTGTTATCTGTCAAAAAGGTAGGCATACACAACAGGAAAGGAAACCCTCACACTCACCTTTATGAGCGATATCCCAATGGTTGATCCTGGGTCGATGTGGGGCTTGATCTGGTCGCACAGTTTGCTGATGAACTGATGTGGGATGACGAAGACCAGGATGGCGGCTCCCTTCACCGCCTCCGTGATGTCGGCCTCCGCCACCTGAAGTTACAGCGGAGGAAAGGAATACAGGTCACTACACTTACACAGATCCTCATAATTCCTGACAGCCCTAAAAAAAACGTTATAGTCATTTTTCTCTCCAACCACTCTCCATCCAATAACAGAAAATTGTAGCACCGTTTGTCCAAATACTCCAATTTCAGAATATTATAACAAAAGTATGGCTTTAAAAAAAGGAAAAAAGGCCATTCAATTATAACAATGTCTTCTGCCTGCTACCACCAGAGAGACAAGTAGAATGTGTTTTGCATTCTTTATTTGAACAGTCCTGGCTGCAAGCACAAACATGTGATTGCAAAGATCTTAACACCAGCTGAGAATTTACCAAAAGTAATTTATGGGCAATATTTTTGTTTTTAAAGACATCAAACTGGTACAATGACATTATACATCACTAGATTTTCTCAATTTTCTCATTTTCTCTAGTCACGTGATGTCCTTTGCATCATTTCTTAACACTCTGAGGATCACAGGGACAGGCCTCCTGCTGGTTCCCAGAGTCAGAACTATGCAGCTGAAAAACAGTCGTCCTGAAACTGTAAATATGCAGCTTACAAACAGTTCTGCTTAACTATGCATACAACTGAAGGACTGTATATTCACTCTTTTTAATGCACTGTGATTATCTATGATTTTAATATTTTGTTTGTTTCTATCTTGATTGTGAGAACTTCAAGCTTTGCTCTACAAATAAACTTTCCTTGCTTGCAAATCGTCGACTGTGTTCTTCACCTGCACACTTATCACTTCTCTGTCTATTGCATAAACGTGTACAGTATTCAACCCATAGTCACTCCTTATCTCCCCTGGCCTGTAATAAAAGCTGCTCCGATAGCCCTGGGGCAGCTGTGGCGGGTGTGGCAGGTACGGCGGCTCGCACCACGTTGCGCGGCAGTTTGTGGCCGGGCAGGTACTTGACGTTCTCGTGCTCTGTGTTGATGATGTCGGTGAGCTTTCGGCCCTCGATCATCTCCTCGTACACCCACATGCTGACCATCGGGTCGAAGCGGTTGGAGCCCTTCACATTGTGGCCGATGATTTTGGCGATGGCTGAGCCCCTGGACAGAGAAGAGAGGAGAGAGACGAGAACAGATAGCAGAGAGCAGAGAGGAGAGAGGAGAGAGCAGAGAGCCGAGAGCAGAGAGGAGAGAGGAGAGAGGAGAGATGAGAGAGGAGAGAGGAGAGAGGAGAGAGCAGAGAGCAGAGAGGAGAGAGGAGAGAGGAGAGAGGAGAGAGCAGAGAGGAGAGAGGAGAGAGGAGAGAACAGATAGCAGAGAGGAGAGAGGAGAGAGCAGAGAGCAGAGAGGAGAGAGGAGAGAGCAGAGAGGGGAGAGGAGAGAGGAGAGAGACGAGAGCAGAGAGCAGAGAGACGAGAACAGATAGCAGAGAGCAGAGAGGAGAGAGGAGAGATGAGAGAGCAGAGAGGAGAGAGGAGAGAGACGAGAGCAGAGAGGAGAGAGACGAGAACAGATAGCAGAGAGCAGAGAGACGAGAACAGATAGCAGAGAGCAGAGAGGAGAGAGGAGAGATGAGAGAGGAGAGAGCAGAGAGCAGAGAGCAGAGAGGAGAGAGGAGAGAGCAGAGAGGAGAGAGGAGAGAGCAGAGAGCAGAGAGCAGAGAGCAGAGAGGAGAGAGGAGAGAGCAGAGAGGGGAGAGGAGAGAGGAGAGAGACGAGAGCAGAGAGCAGAGAGCAGAGAGACGAGAACAGATAGCAGAGAGCAGAGAGGAGAGAGGAGAGATGAGAGATGAGAGAGGAGAGAGCAGAGAGCAGAGAGGAGAGAGGAGAGAGACGAGAGCAGAGAGCAGAGAGCAGAGAGGAGAGAGACGAGAACAGATAGCAGAGAGCAGAGAGACGAGAACAGATAGCAGAGAGCAGAGAGGAGAGAGGAGAGATGAGAGAGGAGAGAGCAGAGAGCAGAGAGCAGAGAGGAGAGAGGAGAGAGCAGAGAGGAGAGAGGAGAGCAGAGAGGGGAGAGGAGAGAGCAGAGAGGGGAGAGGAGAGAGGAGAGAGGAGAGAGGAGAGAGGAGAGAGGGGAGAGGAGAGAGGAGAGAGCAGAGAGGAGAGCAGAGAGGAGAGAGCAGAGAGCAAAGAGGAGAAAGGAGAGAGCAGAGAGCAGAGAGGAGAGAGGAGAGAGGAGAGAGGAGAGAGTAGACAGGAGAGGATGGAGAGAGAAGACACCAGAGAGGAGAGAGCAGAGAGGAGAGAGGGGAGGAGAGAACAGAGAGGAGAGAGCAGAGAGGAGAATTAATAAATATATTAATTATTAGTTGGGCAAACAATTTATTCCATTGACTATTGGATTAGTATCATGACAGAGCAGTGAAGGTGGTTAGCAGCTGGGGTACCCAATCGAATGTAATAAAATCCATATTTCTATTCTAGTGACTGGAAAAGGACGACCACCCTCACTCAGCCAATCAGCTCTAAGCCCAATAAGCCCAGGTTATTTTGTTTTGTCAATTGCTTTTGTATACTTTATGTTTGATATGATGTAAATGATCTTATATGGAGTGGACCCCAGGAAGACTAGCGATCACGTGGGGAAGCTAATGCGATCCAAATAAAAAGATCACATACAAAAATGACAAGGGGAAACAACCAATTTTTGTGTTTACACTTTTGAGTGCAGCAATTGCAGCTCTACTACTCTTCTCAGCAAGTTTGAATGACTGTTAAAATGTTTTCAAAATTAAATACCATAAACTATATACAAAATATATTAATTAAGTAATGTCCAAAAATGATTAGTGCATTCCCGCTGTTTTCAGAGAGATTTCCCCACAGTGGGACGAATAAAGGTTCTCTTCATCTTAATCAAACTAGTCTATTACTGGATAATAAAGTGAGGTAAAGTGAGGTTAGTACAGTGTTGCCTTTCTTTCTGTCTTTCTTGTGGATGTTTTTTTTTTTTTTTAATAGGTCATGACAGCCCTCACACTGACCTCTCAATAATAGGTCATTCAATAAAGTTAAAAATTTGCAAAATGAGAGGAGCTAGTGTATCTAATTCATAAAAAGGCCCAACTTGCATATTAAAGCAATCTGTACAAATTCGTGCAGCCAGGCAAAGTCCAGGAAATTCAGCTGCTCTTACCTGTGTGTATTTATAGTGACTACTAAAAAAGAAATGCGTTTTAATAGCCTTAGTTGACAGATTATGATGATGGTTATGACAGATCAAAATGCAAAGGAAGCAACACCAATAGCGTTTAAGGGCCTCTAGCAGTGATCTGACTGCCCTGTCTGTACATGCATGACCACAGCCACTTTCCTTTTGCCAAAACAACACGAAAAATACAAATACACAAGTGATCGCGTTTCCACCTCTATGGTTTCAACGCCAGAGTCAAAGATCCATTACCAGTTTCCAGAGCCAACGATGCAGACTTTCTTCGCAGGCATGCTGATGTGCAGAGGTGCAAAGGTGCAGAGGTGTCGGTCGAGGATCACTGTCTTCCACACGGACACACTTCCTCGTACGCCCCGGCTCCTGCTCCTGAGCCCGGCCCCTGGCACTGGAGTCACGCCCTGGGACCAGTCTCTGCTTAAGACACACCCTATTTTGGTTTTTGTGACTTTTAACTTAATTGTCTTTCTATTTCTGTTATTTTAGGGGAAAACGTGTTAACTAAAAACAATTGTCATGCAAATAAAGCCAAAAACATAGTTAATGTCGAACTACCTGTTTGTAAACAATGAAAACTGGAGAATTGGCGCCATCTGGTGACTGTGAGCAGAACTGCACATGCGCCGCGCGTCAGTCACGTGACATGCAGCAGCGTTTCCAAACAGATGCTGAGATTCTTCTGCTTCATAAACTTTAAAGCTGGTTTATAACATCTCTATCCTACACACGGCGTTCTCACAGAGGTAAAGTGTGGTGTTGGTGGTAAACACTACGGTAGGCCCAGTGCTCTGTGTTAGCACTGAGCTACTGTTAGCATCCTTCACATATACTGTTATACTCTATAACATCAGGGACTTCTGTACTTGTCCTGCTTTCGTCTGTATTCACACGGCAGCATTTTTGATCTGGAGCAAGTCCCAATGTAATGTAACGTTATCCTCAGTTCAGCTCAAGCCTCGATCCTTTTTTTTATATATAATGACAGTATGCAGCCTGTCCAGTGGTCATTTAAGTTATTTGATGGAATCTCATTGGTCCCAGAATTCATCAAAATTAAAGTACTGTTTGGTATCACACTTCTAATCCTTTGCAGACCTCAATTATTATAATTTATTCTTCATTATACTCTGCACATGTTTGTTTGAATAGTTCAGTCCTCCATTAACCCATCTTCTCCTGCAGGTGTTCAGACAGTCTATGGTCCAGACCCCTCTCGGGCTCCCGATTCTAGTCTGAACATGTCCCAGAGTCCACAGATTAAAGAGGAGCCTGAGGAGCAGAGAATCAAACATGAGGAAGAGCAGCTGCAAGTGTGAGCCTTAAACAGTAAATAAACATGCTTCTGTGTTATTGTGACATCTGACATTGTTGATTTGTGTTCAGTTTAGTCTCTGTGAAGACAGACGAGTGCTCAGATGGAGCGCAGGGCGAGGACATCAGCTCAGGGAGTGGGGGCGACATGGAGCACTTCTCTGGTTCCAGGCTCAAGCAGGAAATCCAAGAGAGTAAAGAAGAGTCAGAGAAGAGCGGACAGCAGGAGAAAGAACAGCTGAAAGTGTGAGTCTCGGCCACTTTCACAACTGCTGCAGTTCAGGACATTTTATTTTTAAGACCATCTTACTCAGTATTTCAGAGGCTGAGCAGCAGCAGACATCCACAGGGGCTGCATCCAAATTGATTAAAACAAAATGCTTTCTTAATCTGAAATATGTGTTGTTGAATCAGTATCGAGATATGATACGGTAATCGAAAACGCAGCAAGCAAACAATATAGATTTCCCAGTAAATTTCCACTAACACTTTATTGTTTGATAGCTACATATTCTTGGGTTTCATTAAACTTGGCCAGCAGGGGACGAATGAGCAGAGATGGGACAACTCAACCCTCAACTAAGGGAGTACTCAAATATATTTCTCAGAGTCTTGATTTTGGGCATTCAAAAAAAAATTGCCCCGTTTCATTTGGTTGGCCTGCAGGGGGCGCTTATCTGGGAAAGCCTGACAGGCCTATTTATTTAGACAAAAACACACCTACATCATGGTCACTCCAAAGATTCCAAATGGCCCAAACCATTAGTTTGTTGACACAGTTCAAACATTTTAGCATAAAAAGGTTTCCAGTCTTATGTCACGCTGACAACCCAAAAGTCACTTCACAACCCAAACTTGTGACATATGGACATCCATTAACAATGCAAACATTAAAGACAATGGTTAGCAGTTGCATTCACCTTTGCAGTCACCTTAATCACTGTGAACTTTGACAAGTTAGTTTAAAGACAATGCATTAAATATTAAAATTATAATATTCTACCATCACTGTCGAACGTTTTTCGTTATTCTTTCATTTATTTTCAGGTTTCTCCCACAGTCCAGTCCTGTCTGTGTGAAGACAGAAGAAAAGTCACTGCTTCAAAGACGACGTGAGCACAGAGAGGAAACACAGGGAGAGGACATGAGCTCAGAGACAGAGGGAGACACGGAGCACTCCTCTGACAATGAGGCTGAGGAAGTAGAGTCTAATGCCTCTTTAAGTAATGGAACTCAAAAAGCTGTCCAAGAACACCGCTGCCCTTTCTGTACGAAGACATTTAGGACTAAGAAGTATTTATTACAACACATTACAGTCCACACAGGAGAGACGGCCAACAGTTGTTTGATCTGTCACAAAGCATTTATCTTAAAGAGCAACATTACAGAACATATGAGGATACACACAGGCGAAAAACCCTTCAGCTGTTCAGTCTGCAAGAAAACATTTTCCCGTCGACCGTACCTCGCTGTGCACATGAGAACACACACGGGTGAAAAACCATTCAGCTGTCCAGACTGCGGGAAAGCATTTGCCCAAAAAAGTCACGTGGACATGCACATGCGGAGCCACACCAGAGAGACACCTTTCAGCTGCTCAGTCTGTCACAAAGTATTTACCATGAAGAGTAACCTGACAAAACATATGAGCACGCACACTGGAGAGAAACCTTACAGCTGCTCAGGCTGTGGCAGGACTTTTACCCAGAAGACTCATCTTACCGCACACACGAGACTGAACGACGAGGGGAGACTCTTCAGCTGCTTCATCTGCAAGGAAGACTTCACGCAGATCTGTGGCCTGGAAATTCACAAGCGAACGCATACAATGGACAAACCTTTCAGCTGTTCTCTGTGCGACGCGCAGTTTACCTCAGTTTATAATCTGAAAAATCATATGAGGATCCATTCAGGAGAAAAACCTTACAGCTGCTCCGTGTGTGGCATAAGGTTCACCACCAGCTCAAATATGAAAAGACATGAGAAACGTCACACAGAGAAATGAAGTTATTTGTTTGAGTAATGAGTTAATTTGGTTGTCTTGGTCATATTTATTATGGATCTTCAGAAGCTCCCAGAACGACACTGCGAAACATGTTAAAATATGAGGTAATGAGTCTATGAATTGTTTTATCTGAATTTGAGTAATAATAATGCATCGGTTTTATATAGGGATTTTTTTTTTGGCACTCAGTCACATGTCAAACTAAACCACTACTGTAGCCACAACTGCCCTGGGGCACACTGAAAGAAGCGAGGCAACCAGTACGTGCCATCAGCCCCTACGACCACCAATCATTCTCACACACACCAGACTCATTCTAGGCAAAGTGGGTGAAGTGTCCTTAGGCAGGATTGGACAGAGTACACCGTCACTGCCTAGATTAAAATAAATGTATTTGTTGTCAACCACATTGTCTTTCTAGTTTTCTGTCAAAGCACTCCCCAACTTTAACAAAAATAACTGTCTTCATTTTCAGGAAACACCACATTTCTGTTCAACTATTATCAGTAGTAACCATCATGAGGATTTAGCCAAAAGTACATTTTAGTGACAATTATTTTTACGGAAATGTGTTATTTATGAAGATTAAACAAAAAAATTAAACAATAACTTGTCTTTCTTGAATTAAAATGTGTTGGAAAAGTAAGCTTGCGTTCAAACACATAAAAGACTGGACAACATGCTGTAAAAGTGATATGCCATTTATTTCATTTCTCACACAAGATTCATAGTTCCACCAGGTTTCCCTCCGCATCAGTGCATTCACAGTTCATCGGACAAAAACCGTCCAAAAAGTGACAACTCCCCGAAACCTCTCCATCACTACAGCAAAAGCACACGCACGCGATAGACTAGTGTGGTGGGGTCCAGAGTCAGAGCGACATAAGGCACGTGGGCAGGGCGGCGCCACCTGCTGCTGACCCCAGACGATGACACGCCTACCTACCGGCCGGACATTCAGTTATCTACAAACAAAAGTAAAAACTACTCAGCACCTAAAACGAGAGGTTCAAGCAGATGAGGGGGTGAAATGAAGCCGCCGTTTGGTTAAGAGCTTGTCATTTCACGTCATGCATTTTGAGGTTAAATTGTTAGTGATTTAGTACTTTTGGTCCGACATGCGGGTAAATACAATATACGCCTACAAGATTTAGAGTTGGAGGAGGGAATCAGAATTAGGGTAAAAAAAACAAAAACAAAAGCAGTGGTGAAAAGTACCGATTAAGTACAAAAGTAAAACTACGCCAATGTGTTATCTGCATCATTTTGGATTTCTACTATCGGCTAATACTTTTAAACTGAAATTAATAAGTTATTTAAAGTGCTTCCAATAACAAAATACTTTAATTTATTGAATTGGATAATTCTGCTGTACAATTTGTTATCAAGATCTCTACGTATGACGAGTTATTGGCAAGTTCTCAACATGTGTACTTAGATAAACATCCGTACTTTATCCACTGCTGGCCAACAAATAATGAAAAGATGCATTGGAGTACCGTGTATATTAAATATTTCTCATAAAATATATCAAAATAACCGCTTTCTTTGGGTCAACTGCCATCGTCAGCCAGTACATAATAGATTTTACAGTCACTACTTTTACATGCACGGCAGGAAGAAACACTATCGGTACCAATTCACATAGTTTGATTTTCCCAGTTGCCATGGACACCTCTTGTGTGCATTCTGGCTGATTTGAGAATGATCAGAAGGGAAAGCTTTCATTTTTACAGCGTGAGATCATTCCACTGCAGGATCTCGAACACACGTTAAAATCGATTTCACGCTTGACCATATAGTCAAAGTCAAAACCACATTGGACCCCGTGCGTACAACAAGACTTTAATAAGCAGACCAGCGCTTTGGAGTAAGTGAGGACAGAATTCTTCGCTGCATGTAAACTTAGTAACCGTCTTTTACCCTCCTGCTGTTGCTCGAACGCCACATTGTTCTGTAAAATAAACCGTTTGGGGTCGAGAGGAGCTGCAGGATGAGCAGAGGATGAATGAGAGCAGGGAATGTGAACCGTGAGCAGATGTTAAGGCTGCTGTGATGGGACCAGCTCCTCAGGTCAGAGCGGAGGAGGAGGAGGAGGAGGGGGGGGAGGAGGAGGAAGGGAGCGTCATGAGTGCAACACCTCTGCTCGGCTCCTCCTGCGGCGGGACAGTCCTACGCGCTCAAACATCTGCCTTCTACAGCGAGCACGTCCACGAGAGCAGCCCCAGAGACTAGGACTTGATAGAGGAGGTTTTCCAAAGTGGTTTATGGTACACCCAGCCTTCACCCTGGAGAAAAAAGCAGATTCATGACATTACCATAAAGTAGAATTCTGCCTTTTTCTAGTTTCCCTTTGCATTTGGACATTTACACCCGTCTGTGCTCACTGCAGCCTCTCGTAAAAACTGTATACGCCTTGCAAAAGTATTAGTTTTTTTCTAGTTTTTTTTTTTTATCGTGAAGCAAACAACAAACATGCACATTGACCGTTTCTGTTATTTTGTCCTAACTATTCACCCCCCTAAAGTCAATACTTTGTAGAGCCACCTTTTGCGACAATCACAGCTCCAAGTCGCTTTGGATAAGTCTCTCTGAGCTTGCCACATCTTACCACTGGGATGTTTGCCCATTCCTCCTTGCAAAACTGCTCCAGCTCCTTCAAGTTGGATGGTTTGCGCTTGTGAACAGCAATCTTTAAGTCTGACCACAGATTTTCTATTGGATTGAGGTCTGGGCTTTGACCAGGCCATTCCAACACATTTACACGTTTCCCCTTAAACCACTGAAGTGTTGCTTTAGCAGTGTGTTTGGGGTCATTGTCCTGCTGGAAGGTGAACCTCTGTCCTAGCCTCAAATCACACACAGAGTAGTACAGGTTTTGCTGCTCTTCCATTTTTGATGAATTTGCAAGAAATAGTGGTAAAGTAGTTGATGTTCCTAAATAGTATTGTAGTGTTGAGCCTAATGTGCGGTGGCAGAACTAGTATTCCTGTCAGCAGCCTCCTCAGAAAGCGTCCCGTGTCACGTGTGTGCAGTGTACCTCTTTGTCAAAGTATCGGGTCCTCCATAACGTGTCTGAGTCTGTGCGGTGCCTCTCCTCAGTCCTCTGCCGCTCCTCCAGGATCCTTTTGTGTTCTGTGGCTTTGTCGATGTCTTTCTGCCTCAGGGCCTCGGTCACATGCTGCCACAGCCGCCTGGGACACACACACACACACACACACACACACACACACACACACACACACACACACAGAGGTCACACACACAGGTAACACGCATCCTTCTGGCCTCCTCCTGACTGATGCAGCGCTCTGACCTGGACTCTGTGGGCCCCTGCTTCTCTATGGGTCGCACCAGCTTCTTGGTGACTGGCAGCCTGGTCACGTCCAGCACACGCGTCTCTCCGCTGGGGTAGCTGAACTCCAGAGAGCCGTTCCACTCGCCCTGCACCCGACACACCACCGCGTTGGTGGAGTTGTGCTTCACCTCCGCCGTCACTCTACCACAACAAAAGAGAACGAGCTTCAGAGACCAGGGCTTTCTCTCAGGCCGTTTTGGATAAAATTATTGTGTCATACAACTGAAACTCTGCTTGAACCCATCTCTTAGAACTTCATGAATTGGAACAATGTATTCTGTATTTTCTAAATATTTCTATGAGACGCGAGTAAAGTTCAGAATTCATCAAAAATAGGTCAAGGGGAGGATGGGTCTTTTGGCAAGGATACTGCAACATGATCAGAAACATGAAGAACAAGGTTTTACTAAAAATCCATTGGAATTTTAAGAGGAATTCTATATGGTCTACTGTTTTTATATTGATATCTTGAATGTTCAGAGTACACTCTTCTCAACTAAATCAACAAAAACCTTTTTTGCAGCTAAGACTAATGCAACAACTTGTTCATACCCACATGTTTGAATCTCCCGGATGCAGGTCATGGAGTAGAGCAGTGATGGTTTATGTCTGTGTTACTTTATTGTGTTTTATGTCTTATGTGCATTTTCACTGTAGCAGCCTACAAGACAAATTTCCTCCAGGACCAAATACATTTATCTTGAAAGTGATGTACACACATCTGCAGCTGGTCTCCCCCAGAGGAGGAGAGACACGTACTTGTGCAGCTTGCCTCCGTAGAAGGGTTTGGTCTGGAAGGTGATGACAGCAGAGTAGCCGGTCTTTGAGCAGTTGATGTTGACCTTCCCCCCGAGCTCCACCCAGGGCACGGTGAGGATGGAGCGGGCGTACGCACAAGGCAGGGTGAAGGTGTACTCCTCTTCGTGCTCCAGCAGGTGCAGGCAGCCTGGACACAGCACCAGGACAGGACACTCAGACCCAAAGCTTTCAACAGCATCTGTAGCTGTCACCAACGCCCGGTAGTAGACTACAGTCAGAGACAGGACATAAATCTCCCCATTGAGAACCGTGTAAATCTTCACTGGTTGCGCTCATTTTCAGCAGTGTGTACAGTTGGAGCAAATGCTTGTATCAAGTGGACAACTAATGGACTCTTTTTTCTAAAATTATTATATTCTTGTAACCCAGCAATACCAAAACATGAATAATTATTATATATGATAGTGATAAATCATTTGTCTTAGAACATTTATATTTAAGGTTGTCTTCTAGCTTGTGTTTTAGAGTTTGTATAGTCCAAGTAATGATCATTTCATTATATTCAACGACTCCATTGAGTCATTTACTAAATGAGCCAAAAGAGTGTAGTGCAGCGTGTTCTTCACGAGTGTTTGGTGAAAGCCTGACCTTCTCCGATCATGGACACCCCGATGGACATGCCCATGAACTTGCTCTTGGTCCACACGTGGGTGTTCACGCACATCTTCTTGTCTGGACACTCTGCGTAGAAGCCGGACACAGGCGGGTGGTGGGACACTTGCTCGGCCACAAAGCGCACGGTGTACCCGCCCTCAGCCCCGGCCTCGCCCTGGGACGACTGGGAGGACACGTTGGACATGTTGGACTGGCTGGAGGAGGGCCTCTGGGGGACCCTCCAGGAGCAGTGGAAGGTCTCTCCGATGATTGGGTTGTAGGGCTTTTTAGCGATGGCCCCTTTGCGGCCCTCGTGGAAGGAGGTGAGGTAGTACTGTACGAAGCGCACCATGCGATCCTCGGGGCTGTTGCCGTCGGCGATGGACACAAAAAGGTCAGGGTGGGACATGAAGTCTGCGTACATCTCCAACAGAGAGCGCTTCTCCAGGATGAAGGTGGGCAGCACCACCTGTGGCACAGAGCACACAGAGCGATCAGCACTTTGTCATGACAACAACTAATGTAACTATCCCAACTATGTTCAAACACTTCTACAGCTTTACAATTTCCCGGATCAACGTGCATTTGGGATTGGGGTTCCTTGTGGTGACCAAAACACAGATATTAGGTCTCAAAGTTATTGTTTTAGAGGCCCGCCTGAGTACTTAAAAATGCATAAAAGCTTTCAATGTGTACTTAAATTAAAGCTCTTTTCAAGACTAGTCTAATGTTACGTGACCAGGTACACCGTGGCTGAGTGGATAGCACTCTCGCCTCTCAGCAAGAAGGTCCTGGGTTCGAATCCCGGTTGGACCAGGGCCTTTCTGAGTGGAGTTTGCATGTTCTCCCCGTGTCTGCGTAGGTTTCCTCCGGGTGCTCCGGTTTCCCCTACCACTAAAAATATGTACAATAGGTCTGGCATGTGCCTCCTGTACTGGCACCCCCACTCCCAAAAATCACAATTGTAAACCGCTTTGAGACTGATGTGCAGTGAAAAGGCGGTATATAAATAAAGATTACTTACTACTACTACTACTACTACTACTACATATTATACTAACAATGTTGAAAAAACCATTCACCACCCTGCTTGAATATTTTCTAAGCTGCTGGAGTGTAAATCATTGTATTTCTACAGTGCTCTAAAAGCGCCATGATTTCTGTTGCATTTTTCTTCACATAACTAAAAACAACAAAACAAATACACTGAGAAACTGTTTATTTATCCTGAACAACAAGAGTGAGTAGGCACTACCGGCCAAAATACATATATAGTATTGGAAAAGCTTGGCTTTTTTCTTGTGCTTCCTCTCCCTGTTGTCTCATACCAGTCCAATAGATGCGTTAACAAGTACACTTAGAATTGGAACGGACTGACTTTCACACCTCAATTAGCGCGCACGTGCATCTTTATCAATTGAATTATTTTGGGAAGGGGGAGGATTCAGTTTTCTCTTGTGCTTTGAAAACACTCACTGAAGTCACTATCCATTCTCTTCTCACTCAACGGTGGTAAATTACAAAGCGAGCCTCCAGCCTCACCAGCTGCGTGGTTTTGGCGGTTGTGTAAAACGGGGCGTCCAGAGGATCCCCACTGATATTATAATAATAGATCCATGATCCCCACCGAGAGACTGAAATACCTTCGTGCTGTGAGGCATGAGTGCTATACATATACTCCTAAAATGAAGCCAACATGCTGCTTGTGCAAGTCCCAGAGCTGATAAGAATGCTAAGAAGGTGACCCTAGAATCAGGGTGCCTTGGATCATGTGAGGTGAGTACAGATCACTGATAAATGAGAAACTAGAGAACTCTGATCCAGAACACTCCACTGTCAGATAGTGTCCAGTGTCCTGTCCTCCATCCATGCCTCAGCCTCCAGTGTAAGCACAGATACAGGGAAAGGCCTTACTCAGCTTTATTCAGTCGGTCACTTTTACATCGTCTGTCGTTATGGACCAATGACTGATTTTCTGATCTGTTCTTGGCAAATCAAAACTTCTGTGACAAGACTATTTTGGCTGATATAAGATTGAATTGTTTTGATTTGACAGCTCTAATTACATTACACATTACATTACATACTCTCACACAATATTTCTGCTGAGGACTATGCTCTAAGGTCCCATCATGCAGCATCCAATTTATTTCATGCAAATGAAACTCAAACCATTTTAATAAATCTCTTCACAAAATGAAGAGTCAAAGTTCAAAGTTTCCAGTTTGTGTTGACTCAACAATGCCCACTGCCTAATCGTACATCCCAGCACATACCGTAGCTAAGTATGACTCTGTGCAGACTGAACATATCCATAATATACTGTGACAAACTCATTCAACATATATGCTCCAGACCAGGGGTCACCAACATTTTTAAAGCAGAGGATTGCCTTCAAATGGCTCGAGGGATACTACTATATAGTTGAATAGATAAAAGATAAAAAGGGGGGGGGGATCTTATAGTCTATTAATAGAATGGGGATGTGTTCATCATCTTTATGGCAGAATCCATTTTGTGTTCAATATTGCTGATTGCTAAACTTGTAGTTTCTTCAAAACTACAACAAATGTTTCAGTAAAATCAACATCTAACTTCAAAACAGTTGAGTTCCACCTTCTGTCTCTATCTTTTTCAGAACACCTTGCTTTGCCCATGAGCAGCTCTAAACCCAAAGCGTCAAATCGGGTTTCCTCTTAGTATACAAAAGAGCACGTGCTGTGGTCCTGAATCCTTCATGAAGCAAAAATGTTAGGTATAGCAGCTACAGAAGGCTCCTTGGCTCAGTCCTGGCTCAAAACTGACCGGTGTGCTGCTGACCCCGGCTCGTCACACCGCACCATTCATAAAGGTTCTACAGGAAGCCAATCATTCAGTCTGATCTCAAAGGAAGCCCAGTCATAGCTATGGACTGGCTTACCCGGGTGAGGTCCATGCCCAGCTTCAGTTGGGACAGCAGGTGCAGGATGATGCTGCGCTCCTCCTCCACAGCCCCCAGGTCCTCCTCTGTGTCTGAGAACGTGTCCTCCACCTCATCCTCGGGGTCCATCTCCTCCTCCTGAGCACAGATACACACACAGTTCATCATCTCCACACATCTCATTAGGATGCCTACAGGTACAGGTTATAACCAATATTTACCTTCAATCCAATGTAAAAAGACAAATCAGAAATCCACTGAGACCGACATGGCTAAATAGTTGTGTCAGTACTCTCAATCCGAGTGTCAGAAGGATTTAGGCACCTGCAGTCTTGATGTTTAACTTGATAAAATCCACTGAGTTTCCTTTGCATCACCCACACGCACACGGCCCGGCTTGACGGTGCAAAGCTAACATGTAGCAGCTGACTGGATTTAAGTTGAGAATTCAGCAAACGAAGCGAGGGCTAATGTTAACAGGGCGTGAGACTTCTTTTTTTTTTCCATGGAGGTGTTCTAGCTATGCCTGGAATGTACAACAGATTCTCATGTCTTTCTCAAACAGGGACCGCTAAAGGCACACTGCACATAAACAGGCTGGCTCACTCACTTTTAGAAATGTCCCATAATAATGCAATTTTTTAGGATTCGTGACTAATTACATCCATGTTGTCCACTGTGCAATTTTGTAAGACTTCTCAATTCACGGTTACGTATTATTACCTACATTATGACAAATGATAATAAACCTTAACACATTTTAAGTAAGACATAATTGTTGTGGTCGACAGTCAATAAGCCCTGAGTAGAATCAAGTATTTTTTTTACCAGATCATCTGATAATGGGACCTTTATTGGTGAGTTCAAGATGAACTTAGGCCACACTCCGCAGTGCATTTGAAAACATATTCTGAATACGTCTAAACAGCAGTATCAGCATGTGCAGCCCTGGGTGAAAGTGGAGTTTGATATCAGTGGATCCGTATGTAAATGCACTTGTCCCACTTGTGTTGCCTTTGACGTTTGCTGGCGTCACAGCTGCCAGTCCTGGAAACAGCAGACTGAAACCGGAGCCTCTTCAGGGGTGACCCACAACAGACTGGGCCAGATCTAAACAGCTCTACCACAACAATGATTCCCACAGAAAAACATCATCGATCTTGTCATTGTCGTTCTTGAACTTGAAGTCTTGTGACAGGTTTGTTTGTTTGATTGAATTATGAATCAATTATGTGGTCGGTGTGATAGTAAACTTTCAAACTAAATCTATGCCATAATAAATGTGCCATCAACTATGTTTACTCATAAAACAATATACTCTCCTACTTTTAAAATGTAGGATGTTGCTAACGTGGCAGTGCCAGTTAGTTTAACACAGGTGAAAATAAAGTTTGAAGAATCACTGAAATAGTGAGGATAGAGATTCTTTATGAGGCGATGTCTTCTGATTCGAGTGATGGGGCTTAAAATCATTTCCAGAGGGGAATGGTTCCACAGTTGTTAGTTCCCAGTTAAGAATTATTGTCCAAACACAGACTCTAGAAAGATGGAGTGAGTGGACACCACTAAATAGTATAAATATACTTTCTACCAATGCATTTCAGAATTCGTGTCAGCCCTGGACAGAGAAAGTTCATTTGCCTAAATCCTTCAAAGCCAAACAACTGTATGTGCTTTTGCACAGTACACCTGTCCTGGACCATATATGTGTTTGTGTGTCATACCTGTGAGAAGCAGCTGGAGTCTGGCGTGCTCAGCTCTAGCCGGGGCCCCTCCAGTGGGCCCTCTCCTTGGGGAAAGCCTCCTCCGTTCTTCAGCAACTCGGGCAGTTTGGGCTCCAGCCACTCGATGGTCGGCCCTGCGATGGAAGCAACGGTGTCAGAGACGCTCATGGTGCCGGGGCCCCTCCCTCGTGAGGCCCGTGTACACACACACACAAACACACGCACACACTCAAGGCTCCCAGGGGCCAAATCTACTCCTACACAGACTGTTTCCCACAAACACACCAGAGGAGTGTGTGCTACGATTGGGGATCTTTAATGCATGTTTGAAAGGCGGGGAAGCTTCATTCTAATCCACCTCGGTGCAGTGATCTGATTGGCCGGTGTGCGCAGTCGGACTTAATGAAATATACATTGCGTAACCAGATCTGTGCACAAGGGCCGAGACTTTATCTGGGTCTTTCACATGACAAATCATCAAAATCCTCCTAAGTAGCAGCAGCTTACACCTCCTGACCCGTCTGTGCTCGGGCTGTAGCCAATCTGTAGCTACAAACAACTAATAGATACGAGCACATAGTTAAACAACCCCAGATCTAATTACTGTAGAGTAGACGGGTAAGAAAAGGTACAGGCCCAACATCAATAATTCAACATAATTCCACTGTCCAGCACTGCCAGGGGAGATGGGGACAAAGAGACGTGTCCAACGCCAGAGCATATACCTATAGATTTAGGTTACACATGTTTGGCCTGCTTTTATTCAATTAATAGTAGCAGCCCTTGTATTGCTGCCCTAATGACAAAAATATGGTACTGAGCAACAGTAGCTCAGTTGGTAGAATTTGAGCCTGAAGGTACTGAGTGTCCTTGGGCAAGACACTTGACCTCTGGGAACACCAGGTGGCGGCTGCGACTGTAAAGTGCCAAACTGCCGTTATGTGCTTACGCAAGACACTTTACCCTCATTGCCTAGAATGAGTCTGGTGTGTGTGTGAATGGTTGGTAGTGGTCGGGAGGGGCCAATGGAACATACTGGTTGCCTCGCTTCTGTCTGTGTGCCCCAGGGCAGCTGTGGCTGATGGAGTGAATGAATATGACATGTGAAGCGTCTGAGTGTCCAAAACGGCGCGATAAGAAACCAGTGAATTATTATCATTATTATGAAGCCAATCGTGACAAAAGCCTATTGCACATGGTGGGCAATATATATTTTGTAGGCAATAATATCGCAAAAGTGATAATTCCACACCTCAAAAACAATTATTGTCCTGGCTCGGGATACTATTGTCCACAAAGTATCAAAACTGCTCTGAAAAGTGAGGTAAAACGTTGTACCTCAGAGCAAATGAAGTAGTGAAGATGAAAAGGAAAGTGAAATCCAAACTCCAGTGTAGAGCAGTGGTACCTGCAAGCGTGCCCCTCTGCCGGGCCAGCTGCTGCAGCTGTAGGATATGCAGGCAGTCGTTGAGACAGCTCATGGTGGCCATGGACGTGGCTTTGAGCATGAGCAGGTCCTGGTCCAGAGGAGACAGTCCGGGGGCCGCAGGAAGACCTTCGATCCCTTCCAGCAGCTCCCTGTGCTGCCCGTGCGCCTGGCTCATCATCTGCACAGACAGTTTACATCAGATAAATCATGTTTTTATGATTCAATAAGAGGGCCAACTCTGGACTCCAGTTTTCCCTCACAGCATAATTTCGCAGTTGGTTTTATGAGTAGGCTGCATTCACCCTAATTAGGGATGTAAATCGGCGACCGTTTAACCGGTGGTTGACCGTCACAGCGTTAACCGGTCAAAGCTGTCGGTTAAAAAAGAGAAAAAGGGGAGAGGGGAGGTCTCTTAATAACGCTATTTTAAGCCCTATTTGCACGGTGTGACGAGCGGGTCCGTATCTAGCTGTGTGCGCCCATGTATTATAAACTCCGGGACGACTCTCACGCCGCACGAGCCACATATGCACACACGCACACACACACATACACACTTTCCCCCTCTCCATACGTAACATCCACACGCATCATCTCTCCCCTCTGTTACCGTCAAAGTTGCACACTGGCGCGGGTCAGAACTACATTGGAGCTTACATTTACACACACACACATATACACACACACATACACACATACATACACACACATACATACACACACACATACCGGTCTGTCGCGCTCCTCTGTGTCATGGAGCCCAAAGGATTCGCGCAAATACGCGGCTCCAGTCAAACCACATGGAACATGTTTGTGTTTATGGTCCTCGGGATCAGCTCCACACACATCACTTGTATTTAAACTTTTGTGAAGACCTGTGAGACGCGGCTCGTCACTCGCTGCTCTGACCATGTGAACGAGCCGTCGTTTGCTGCTAGAAAGTTTTGGTATTAACCCGCAGTACAGCAGAATGGGAAGATTAAAACAGCAGTTCTCTGTGCGCAAAGGTGCCGGAGCTGTTGCGGGTTTGGGCGCCGCTGTCTCGGCTCTGATCCAGTAGAACGCAGAGCTGCACTTATGAAAAGTACGCGGCTCGAAATGGCTGTTATTTCAAAGAACGTGGACTATTTTAAACTACGCGGTTAACCGGTTTCAACCGGTTAATGAGGCTCGGTGGTCGGTCATGAAAATTCATAGTTTTTTACATCCCTAACCCTAATCCTGGTCTTGTCATAGTCTCTGCTAAGTTTAAATCATGCGGAAGAAATGTGACATTTTAGCAGCTTTATCCATGTTACAACATTTAAATAATTAATGCCGGCATGTGCCTCCTGTACTGGCACCACCACTCCCAAAAATCCCAATTGTAAACCGCTTTGAGACTCCGATGTGCAGTGAAAAGGCGGGATATAAATAAAGATTACTTAGTACTACTTACTACTACTTAAAAAACGTATTCTGAAGCCCATCAATTAGGCTGATAAATCTTATATGTGCATTTTTCTTAATTCGTCTTTTACAGTTTGTAATCTAATCCAATCCATTTATTCGGAATTTTACATACTGTAAAAGCAAACACGCTCACTAATTCAGTCGTTCGTGAGTGTACATGGAGAGAACATGGCCGCCTCCTCAGATCCTGTGTCTAATTTAAACGTACGCTCAGAGTCTCCTTACACTCAGAGCGTCCACATAACACCTGAGGTATTTCTAACAACAGCACAGTTCTTCGAGTACGCAGTCCATCAGTCAAACAGGCCACAGGAGACTATGTTCAAACTGCGTGAAGAATTATAAGTAATGTACATATTTCAAGCAAGCCTAAAAAGCATAACACCATTAGATGATTCCTGTGGCCTGAACATTCAATATTGTAGCTTTACCCTATGATCTAGAATCCTTCACAAAAGTAAACTCTGTATGTTTTGTAGAAGTGCATTTCTTCTACAAAACATGTTTAGTTTCTTTTTAGGCGAAGTGTTGGACCAGATATAGAAGAGGGCATTTCAAATGAATGCCTTTCATTTCAATGGACATTTATTTGGGGCGTTACAGTTCTTCTTCTCTAATACAAAAGTAACCACATATTTGAGTAACTTAGTTTCATGTGGGGCACAATATTGGAAATTAGAGCAATATTTGATATGGGTGTTAAATAGTTTGATAACAATATTATTGTAATATTTTTGTCTTTTACCTAAAAGTGCTATCTGCATTGAATCACAAAAGAAAAATCTGAGAAAAATGTATCAGAACTGTTACGGCCCACGGCCCGTAATTCCCTATTTTGGGGATAACTTTAGTTTCTCCCGTGGTGTCTTCGTGTGTTTGTTTCCTCCCTTAGGGAGCTTATAAGCTGTCAATCATCCGCGGCTCGGGGCAGTTGCAGTCAGTGGACTCCAGTTTGCCATTTAGTTTTGTCTGTGTTATGTCACTTGTGCCGGTACTTTAGTTAAGTGACTTCTGTAGTTTAGATTACAACTTTGGTTTTGTCATTGCTTACTCGTAGAATAGGTTATCTATTTACTCTGTGTTTTGTAGATAGTTTTACCTATTTTGTCATCTTAATAAATTACGATTTTAGTTACCATTCTAACATCTTGGTTATTTTGTTACTTCCTTACACCTAAGCTGAGCCGGGTCGTGACAGAAACCCGGACGAGCCCCCATTTCTGACAGCTTGACAGCTTATAAGGGCGGGTTAAAACTTTGTGTCGCTTAGAAGTTTTCGTATTGGTCAGTAATGCTGGTTTGTGCATTTGCCTTTGGTTTGACATGGAGTAGGCTGTGGAGTTTTAGATTGTAAATACACAGCATAAACCTTGTGAGTGTGCTGGAGGTGGCTCTGGAGATTGTCGTTTTTCCCTTCAACGTTGCAACTATATTTTGGCACAACTTGCAAATAATTCACGCTAGTGTGTGGTGGCACTAGGTCGCAGCAGATTTGTCAAAGTACGCGGACAAGAAATGCATACATAAATATTTAAAAACTATTGCGCATCTTTTGAGATATGGATATCGCACGTACCAATTTCATGATGGCGATATTTTTTCAATATATTGTGCAGCCCTATTTCATGGTTTGAAGTTAACATTCCAAAACCATGAAACGCAAGAGTAAATATTCTGAAGCAAACACAGAAAATACATTATACTTTCTATATTAAAATAAATTAAAATGGGTTAAGGACCTTAGTAGTAGCTCACTTACAAATGGTAATATTTCACTATCGACTACAGTAGTTGGTGGGAATTACATAGTATTGGCTGAATACAGTATGTGCTTGTATTGAAAAAAAAAAGAGCTCAGAAATATGTCTGCCAGAGTGTGTCAAGTCACATTAAAAGTTCATGTCGATATGAAGAAAGGTTTTTGTCAGAATCAGGGCCCATGGTCCCAAGTATGAGTCAAAAACATCTCTATTTGATCAACTGATAAAAAAAACTCATCAGCATTTGGGATCTGAACAACTGCCATGATCAATTATCAAAATCATGGTCAAGTACAGCCATAATTTAGACAGGAGACACGTTTGGGCAAATACATTATTTCAGATGCTTGTGGCGGGTGCAGGGGAGAAGTGCGCACCTCCCTGGCGTCCAGCAGGTGGTCCGGCAGCAGGGACCTCTTGCTGGAGTAGAGCGCGGAGCCTTTGGCCTGGGACCAGCCGAACATGGAGGAGGGATTCTGGCTGGGCCGCCGCATGGACATGGGCGAGCTGCCACTGCCCTGCGACGCCATGGAGTAGCTGCGCGACTTCGGAGGAGGGTTACTCTGTAGACACAAGGCAAACGCTGATCAGAATAGAGGAGAAGGACATGGTTTTCTGCAGCTTTTTATTGTCTTTGGCCCAAAATATTGGCATTGCATTCCAGAACTGTAGCAATGTCTGTGTGTAGCTCTCATTAAAAACAATTTGTATTGTACTGCCCTCTAACAACAAAAATAATAAACAAAAAAATGCTTGTATGGGGCAAAACAAATGTCAAGAATCAGTCAAATTCAACATGGAGTGTTCTGTGAGGGGGTGGGGACTGTGGATGAAATTAAAAAATGTAGTTGTTTAGTTGCTGAATCAGTAAATAGTTTATTTTCTGTGAATGACAAACAATTTTTTGTAAAACTTCCAAAGAGCTCAGAAATACTGCTATTTTTGAGCTCTTTTGTTTTGATAAGCAGAGTTTTTAGAGATTTCCTATCTCAGGCACGAGTAAAGGGGCACGTGTTTAGACCACAGCCCTAGAATGTTGTGTTGAGTTATTGGAACCCTTTATTTTTGTTTAGGTTGTAATGAAAAAGGGCTTACAATCAACAAAGTGACGCGACATAATGTCATAAATTAGTCTAGTAAGATTTAGTATCTATGTTTAAAATAATGCTAACATTTTAAGCTTCAAAACATCACAGTACATCAAGAAGTTTATTTTACAACAAAAACGACAGCATTATGGCTAGACATAAAAAGGCAGGAGATAAATGATGGTAGCGCACACAGCACCTCCCATGTCTTGGGTGACACATTGGGGTGCTAAGTGACATGACTGCAGCCACTGGGGGTGAGGTGAGGATAAGTCCAGTCAGCAGCAGTAAGGACGGTGGGTCCAGTGTCCAGAGCAGACCACCCCCACCTCACTGGAGACCCTTCTGGAACTTTCAGTACACCATTCTGATTGACCCCAATATCATTACAGATTACCATTATTACCTCGCAAGGTTGGAGTGTGCATCATGGTATGTTACACTATATTTCCATCCATCCATTTTCTTCCCCTTAATCCATTTCTGGGTCAGGGGGGGTGACAGTCAGAGCTGCACCCAGTACACAGAGCACCAGCCCCTCACTGATCCTCCTGCAGGTGGTGAGTCCACAGAAGCTGAGATCTTTCAGTTGGGGCTTTGGGCAAAGTAGGGTTAAGTGTCTTGCCCAAGGACACAACGACAGCAGTCATCAGTGGGAATCGTGAAGTAGGTCTTGCGGTGGGCTCGAACCCACGACCTTCAGGCCCAAAGGCCAATGCTCTACCAACTGAGCTACTGTCGCCCTACACTATACTATATTTCTGATAGCTAAAGAAAACCACTATACCAATTAATCCATTCTACAAATAGAACCAAACATTTCAAGAAAAACAATCCTACAAATCTAAAATTATTAATAATAAAGTAACCAAAGATGCAAAAGATGAACAAGAAATAAACTCTCCGCAAAGAGAATGCTTTCTGCCCTGGACCATTTTGTAATCGTGTGTTTGACCAAATGGGTTTGACCTAGGGGTGGGCGATATAGACTGTTGACGACAATATCGCTAATGCTTTATCGCATTATAGTCAATTAGAAAATAATTACAAATATTGCAGATAATTTTGTGTAAAAATTATTGATTTTAAAGATATTGTGACAATATTGTTATCGTGAGTTGGGGGAAAAAATTGAGATATCTATTTTTGCCCATATCGCCCACCCCTAGTTTGACCCCCTGATCTGGGCCATAGATTGACATGTCACTTACGCAATATGAAGGACTATGGATGGACTGCAGAATAAAATGCCTTCAGTGATATGCATTTGCTCCTGTACAATACTGGGCGCCATCGCACTTAGACATAAATTATTTACAGTCTCCATATTTGCGCGTGCTCTGGTCCATTTGCCGGGCTGTGGAAACACTATCCACCGCATTTTCCAGGTCTGTGTCCAGATATTTAGGCTTCCTTCAAGAATTCAGTAAATCCCTTTGATGAATTAATCAATATTTCAGAAAAATCTAAATTTCCAGCTGACAAATGAAGAAAAACAAAAAGTCTCAGAATAGCATAATCTTTCAAGCCACAAACGTTTAGATTTTTTGATTATATACATTTCAATCACACAATTTTGAGAGGAATTCTCGCTCCCCAAGCTCCCTGCTCACCTTCCCCATGGCCTCTGTGTGGTGCTGTGTGCAGATCTGCAGCCGGCTCACCCAGTGTTGCCTCTCTTTGGCGTCGGTGGCTGAAAATACAGAGCAAACATGCCGTAAGATTGGCCCTGATCAAAGCTGGAGCCACATTGATCTTCCTCCGACAGATAGAGGGCAGATCAATGCTGCCGGCCTGTGACTGAAGAGGAGCAGTATGAGCGTCACCTCGGAGCTTGTACTGCTCTCCGCTGATGGCATTGACGGTGAAGGTGTGCGAGTCCTCGTCGCTGGGGGAGATGACTGCTCCGGCCAGCGGTAGCATGCCGCGGGGCTTCTGTGGCCGCGACTGCTCGTTCACAAAGTACTCCAGCAAACCCGCCTCGTTGTTCAGCACAAAGAACCTATACGACATTCACAAGGACTTTAACCAGCATTCTCTGATCCCATCATGGTGCCTTAGATAGACGTCCATAAAGGGCAGATGACCAAGGTCCATAAATGTAGTTATTTTCAAAAACACACACTCAGTGAACAGCGTTTCTATCATAATCGCAATGTTTGTCAGAAAAACATCATTACATTACCTGTACTGCCAGCCAGTCACCAGGTTGGTATACTTCATCAGGTATCCGTCAATATTCTCCATGTGGTCACTGTCCAAGAGGAAATCAAGTGAGAATATGATTTTTTTTTTTCCAGCAGAGCCTTACCCTAAGTGATATTTCTAAATTTTCATATGAAAGTGCAGTTATTTTGCCTCCTGTTAATTTATGTTTATTTTGTTTTGATTTTTATGTGAAATTACTGAAATAAATTCAAGTAAGTTTCATATTAGCCTCCTTTAAAGTCTTCACTGAAACAAATGTACAACAAAAATTAAGCCAATATTGCCTAGAAAAGTGACATACTGAGACGCATTATATTACTGGGAAAATGGTAGACATGTTGCCAATAATACAACACATGTACAATAATAATGCAAAAGAAATGTATGACACGACACCTAAACACATTCAATTGCAAGACAGTCGAATTTAAAAACTCATGACTTTTACTATGTTGTTTACTATGTTATCGAAAGCATTTCCCGGTGTACTTTGGGCACACCCTTTAACTATATAGACTGTAAGACAGGTCAGACAAACTCCCTGAACAATAGTTGAGTTGTTTCAGTTTTGATTTGGGCTTTTTCAACATTTCTAAACTAGAGATTGATACTTAAAAGGTCTCTGGTTAAAACTAGGGTACTTAACTTTTACATAAATAACAAATCTTGCACAGAAAGTAAAATGATGAGAACAAATCAGACAACATTATTACAATAAGACAAATTCTTTAGCATAAACACATACATTACAAAACCCTGTTAGACATTATTTAACACTTTGGTCCATTCCATTTCACTGTTATGTCTGAAAAAGCTAATCTAAATATGGGACAAAAAACATGAATGTGAAATATAGAGATGAAGCCAAACTGTTTTGAAAGCGGTGCAAGAGTGGCATGGATTGGACTGGACTCCTGTTAGTGCCCAGAGTCAGAACTAAACATGGGGAGGCTGCTTTTCAGATTCATGCTGCTAAAATCTGGAACAATCTTCCTGACGATGTGAGACAGGCCTCCTCTCTGACAATGTTTAAAACCAGGTTAAAAATAGTCCTGTTTAGCTGTGCATACAACTGAGGGATTTTATATTTTTATATTTATTTTTAATGTTTTGTGATAATTTAATGATTTTAATGCTTTATTTTGTTCAGCATTTTGAATTGCCTTCTGTATGAATTGTGCTATATAAATAAATGCTTTGCCTTACCATGGACTGTATTATGTAGTTTATTTGTTATTTGCACTAATGTGACAGTTACGTACCCCAGCTTTAACTCATAACTACACTGACCGGGCTAATCCACTATTATCGCCCATTAGCACGTCTCCATGACCCACCTGTACTGCCAGCTCTTGGCGCTGGCTCTCCCCGGATTTGGGGTCTTAATCTGGGGTAACACATCGGCTTTGCCTTCGGTGTCCGTGGCCGTTTCACCCTGCATAGTCCCGGGGAAGCCCTCCTCAGTCCCGGGGTGTGTTAGCCCGTGGAGCTAATGCTGGATGCTAGCTACTGCTGTCACCGCCGCTAGCATCAAAACACACGCGCCCTTCTGAGTCGGCAGATGACGCGTTGGGCTCAGTTCATGCTCCAGGGGGTTGCGGGGGCATTAGCAGGTCCACAGGGGTGTTCTACAACGAGAGAAAAGGCCTAAACATCCTCACTGAAGGCAGGGGGAGTGCGGACCTCTGATCTGTGGGTTTGTGGAAGACTGGAGTACAGTGTTGTTGGCACCATGTTATTGATGCGCACTTACCGCCCCCTTCCGCCGCGGAGGGGGACTGCTGTTAAAGCCACAGTGTAGTTCAAAAAGAATCCTAAAACGTGGCTGGGTTTTTTTTAGCATGACAATCATCCCAAAGACACAACTTAGTGGCCTTGTCATTCTCCAGATCTCAACCCCATAGAAAATCTTTGGAGAGAGTTGAAAGTCTGTGTTGCTCAGCAACAGCTCCAAAACATCACTGCTCTCGAGGAGATCTGCATGGAGAAATGGGCCAAAATACCAGCAACGGTGTGTGAAAACCTTGTGAAGACTAACAGAAAACTTTTGAGCTCTGTCATTGCCACAAAGGGTATTGAGTATTGAGATCAAATTTGTTATTGATCAAATACCTATTTTCCACCATGATTGGCAAATGCATTCTAAAAATAAGACAATGTGGTTTTCTGAATTTGTTTTTCTCATTCTGTCTCTCATAGTTGAGGTATAACTATGATGAAAATTACAGGCCTCTCATCTTTTTAAGTTGGAGAACTTGCACAATTGGTGGCTGACTAAACAATTTTTTGCCCCACTGTATCTATTTTTCAAATAAATCATGTGACTTTCCCTCTCAAGAAAAGTACACTGAATGTATATAATATTTAATCATGATTAACGGTGAAGCATTACGTTTTGCTCATTCTGATACAGCAAACTTCAACCAGTAATTGGACAAATTTAAAATAATGTTCAACCTGAATGCAAGTTTTGCAGCAGAGATGTGGTTTGTGCAGTACACCACAAGAGGGCAACATTACGATTTCAAACATTCTCTGTAACTAATATTAAAGGCCCAACCCTAGCGTAAATGTTCACGTCATGTATTGTATTATAGAACAGCATTGAATATTCATTCACTCATTTTCTGCCCCTTTATTAGTCCATTTCTGGGTCGGAGGGGTTGCCAACGGGAGCTGCCACCCAATGTTGATAGCACCAGTGGTCCAGCAGGTGGTGGGTCCATGGGAAGATTGCTTCTTGACGCAGCCTTGATCTTCTTTCAGCAGGGGCTTCAGGCAACGTGGGGTTAAGTGTCTTGCCCAAGGACACAACGATAGTAGGCATTTGTGGGAGCAGTTGGAGTAGGTGGGCTCAAACCCCCGACCGTCAGGCCCAGAGGCCGATGCTCTACCAACTAAGCTACTGTTACCCAGCAGTGGATATAATCATCTATTCAGGGGTTGTGAGCGAGCTTGCATCTTCACGGATCTGACCAAAACTGTTTGCATAAGAGTATAAAGGCAATGAAAAATGGAAATCACAACATGAAATCGCAGTCTTTGATTTAGCATTTATGATGAAGGGAAAATGGCATTATTACATACATACATATATATAATTTGGTATGATAAAACAACAGGTCAAAAATAAGGTTACAGCTATTCAATCATGAGTATAGTAACATGAAGAATCCATATATTAACCATTTTTGCTTGCTTTCACTTTTCTGACCGTGCAAAACAAAAATATACATAATGTGAGCGACGAATGGGCACTTAGTGAAAACATGGCACCTATAAATACATTTTTTTATAATTTCCTTACAAATCGTGTCATTTTAACCCTGTCGATCTGCATTCACTATTTTTGCTGGTGTTTCTGATCGCAAACATGAAATAACCATTTCTCGAAACATTATATACATAAAATTCACTCGAGAAAAAATTAATTCAGAAATTGTTTAGAAAAAAAAACATGCTAATTTGATTGAAATATTGTTAAATATAGAAAAATAATGTTATAGTTCTTATTACGATGGAATTTTGAGTCTTTTATTTGTTTGTTTTGCTTCTATCCATCATTTTCATTCACAATGGTCTAATATTGTCAACGCTTCCATGGAACTATAATCAAAAGTTAAGATAAAAGTAGAAAGTTTCCTCAGTGGAACAGCGTGGCGGGCTTTCGAGTCTTCGTAAGGCGGCTCTGAGGCACATACTGACATTGGCTTTACGTGTACCAAAAACATGACACAGACAGGAGAAGAGGAGGTCCAGGAAGTGACCAAGTGGCAGGGCCATATTTGGCAAATAACATGACTGAGCCACTGTAATACAAAAGGTGGTTCAAACACACCAGGGGCTTGGAGTAGAGTCGCTACTCCGCTCTTGTGAAATTTACCTGGATTTTATTTAATGCAGAGTATAAAACCCTATAAAAGAGAAAGTATATTCTGCAATGTTTTTTCTTATTTACAATTACATTTAGTGTGAAACTGTTGATTTAAATGGTATAGTACTATGGCACATTATAAGTATATTGAAAAGGAAAACCCTCACTACATGATATACTTGCATAAACCATGTTTTTTAAATTATTATCATTATCATTACAGAGGATTATGGTGGCAAAAGGCCCACGGCTCAAACATTGCTCATCAGTAAATAAAAAACATACAAACATGGTTTATGCAAGTAACAGTGTGCGAGAGCTTTTTTTCCTTTGCATAGTTGGCTAAGCTGTGTGCGGGGTCTGCTCTAACGCACCAATCAGAGTCAGATAGTAAGTAAGTAAGTATTTATTTATATACCGCCTTTTCAATGCAGATCTGAGTCTCAAAGCGGTTTACAATTGTTAATTTTTTGGCATTTGTCTCTCACTCCACACAGAGATGGGAGCACGGTCGCCAGTACAGGAGGCGCATGCCAGAACTATTGGACATATTTTTAGTGGTAGGGGAAACCGGAGTACCCGGAGGAAACCTACGCAGACACGGGGAGAACATGCAAACTCCACTCAGAAAGGCCCTGGTCCGGCCGGGATTCGAACCCAGGACCTTCTTGCTGAGAGGCGAGAGTGCTATCCACTCAGCCACCGTGCCGCCCATGATGTGCTAAGTATATAACAAAAATATTTCAAATTCAAGTATCAAATCTTTAAGTGCGAAATGAATAGTTAGGGCTTCTGAGCTTTATTAAATTTTGTTTTAATAATTGTGATTTCAATAATTAATGAAATCACTGATTGTTTTAGTAATAAGCAGTAACGAGCAGCCATATCATCCACAAACATGTTTTTGTAATAATTTGCTGACAAATAAGCATTGAATACAGAGTCTGTAATCTAAGGCCACTTTGCAAAGCCTGAGACCAAAGAGAAGTGCTTCTGGTTAAATAAAGGTCAAATTAAATGAAACCGTTTTCTTTCCTTCCTCTACTCCTGCTATTGCCATTTTTCTTGTATATATTGAATGGCCTCGGATCACTGAGGCTGGACTGGATCCCCTCTTCTCCTGCTTGTCTCTGAAGTCTGTGGGCTTTTCAAGTGTTGCGTGCAGTATCCCAAAGCCTCCACGTGGGCTCAGGCGCGGGGGAGAAGAGCCGTGGTCCCCAAAACGTTCCCGAAGCACATGGCACAGAGAACACCCCCCTCTGAGCGGCTGCTGTACTTTAGTGTCAGAAATACTGCAGCCACGGAGCTTCGTTCATTCTTTCCAAAAACAAGGCACTGGCTTTTCACATAAAGTGCGGTCCAACTGTAGATCTGGTTGACGTGGTAACACTGATATGTCACTAAAATAAAGGCACCTTGGATTTTAAGGGAATAGTGTGATTTCTTGTAATGCTGTGTCGAAAGGCTTCAAACAGTACTTTGCGAGTTATTTTAAAACCTTTGCAAAAACATCAACAGGCCCATTATTTCTTAATCAGTCGTTCCAGTGGGCGATTATCTACAAAGTAGTTAAAATGAGAGGCGGTTGTGGCAGTGAGGGACCTGCACCGGCGACTTTGGGTCTTGGTCTGGGTCTGGGCCTGGTTAGCTGGCGGGCGTGGACTGCTGCTTGAGCACGGTGTAGATGTTGTCCACTTTGCTGAGCTTCTCAAAGAACGGGATGAGGTCCAGCAGCTCTGTGTCGGACATGTCGTCGAACCAGGAGGCCACCGGCACCTGCAAGCACACACATTCACCACAATAAACTTACACTATACGCACAATTCAACACTGTTCTGCATGCGTGTGTGTGCATGTGTGTAATGTATGCGTATCAAGTCTATATGTGTGCATGCGTATCAAGTGTATGCGTGTGTGTATTTGTGGTGTGTGCATGTATATGAGTAAGTGTATGTGCGTATATGCAAGTGCGTAGTGTGTGTGTGGGTGCGTTTGTGTATGTGCATATAATGTGTATGTCTGTGTATAATATGTATGTAAGTATACAAGCGTGCGTCTATTGTATTTGTGCGTGTAATGTATGCATGCATGTGTGTGGTCCTCACAGCGTTGTCGGGATGGAAGACGTATGAGGCGGGGGAATTGTCCACGATGATGACCTTGTTGAGGTCTCGTCCCAGGCGGCTCAGGTCCTTCACGTAGTTCCCTCGGTGGAACACGCACGACTCCCTGAAGAGACGACAGCGGAACGCGCCCCACTTGTCCAGCAGGTCTGACACCGGGTCTGCGTACTGACCACACACACGGCCAAGAGCGGGTCACAGGTTGGAACGCACCGTTTCTAAATCATCATTTAACAACTCAAACCGCCTAAAGCACTGGAGAATTTTATTTTATGTAGCAACACTAACACATTTGGTATAGCATGATCTTGATGAAGTCTAAGTGAAGCTTTAGAACAGGGGTGTCAAAGCGATCCTCAAAAGACCGTGGGTTTTAGTTCCAACCTAAGCATGGGTGGAGTCTGGTGTTGCTCCTGCTCAGGTTGAAACAAAAGTAAGCAAGTAAGTATTGTTTATTTTTATAGCACATTTTTACAGACCAAGGTCACCCAAAGCGCTTTACAATGTTCAGAGTTCAGATATTGTTCCAATCATTCCACACACGGTGATGACAGAAGCGAGACGCCGCACACACTGGACCATCAAAGCCCGCAATCAACACCATCCATTCACTCTCTCACTTACATTCTTATCTATTGTGCATGTTTTTAGTGGTAGGGGAAACCTGCAGCCACACGGCCCTTTCTGGAACCGGATTGACACTCTTTCTTTAGAATGACTGACTGATCCATGAGTTCATTAATAATCAATCATACATAGTTATTACCACATAATATGTTAAGAAACAGCTTTGCAATTAGTAATTTAATGCTATATGCTGAGCCCCAAACCCAGTTCAGTCAATCCTCACATTTTACTAAGGCACATAAATGTATTTGAAGCGTATATCGAGTCAAAGTGTTGAATGAGTCCCCAGTGTGCCGTCATTCACACGTTTTAGCTTAAGGCAGAGGATTCCAACTCATTTTCCATTGGGGGACCAAGTCTTCGCCGCAGCTGCCCCCACTCCCTGGAACTCACTCCCACAACCCAATCAGAAACTCAAACTCACTACAGAACTTAAAAATCACTTCTTAAAACCACCTTTTTCACTTTGCCTTTCGTTAATTTTGTTCTCCAATGTTTATTTTCATGTTTTGTAAATAATCTATGAGTGTTCCAAAAAGCTCTACACAAGTTTGATGGACTATTCTGATTATTATTGACACTTTCTTCCTCACAATTGTTTTTGTTAACTGCTGATCTGTTCCCAAAGAGATATACTGCAGACAATAGGCCGACAGTCACGGTGCCTGTGCTTTTGCAGACATGGCAGATCCACATTCCTGGACACTCAGCAGCACACTTGTGGGAGTTGTACCTTGGCTAAGCTGGCAGTGAAGAGCACGCACTCGAACAGCTCGCCCATCCTCTTGAGAAACTCGTCCACGTGCGGACGCTTCAGGACGTACACCTGCAGGAAGAACGCAGCGTCACACAGGCCTCAACACGCCTCTGTTATGTGTGTGTGTGTGTGTGTGTCTGTATGTATGGAGACAGACATCAGCTGTGTAATAAGATCCACGTCAAAGAAAGAACGCATACCATTTCCTTTTCTTTTTGAATTATTTAACAAGTTTAATGCTATCTCATAGAACATGCCAAGCCAAACACAAGAAGAGCAATCGTAGTGCACTTAACAGTTTCCTAGTTTGTGACTTCTTGTTACTCACAATGGCATAAAAAAGATTTCTGCATCTTATTTTTTGTCTATTCTTCAAATGTTTTGAATCCATGTTGATTTATCCATTTTGAAATGTGAGTGCATACTTCCAAATGTTCTTTAACTCTGGCAGACAAAAAACATACAGTAATCATTTATTTTAGGGCTGTAAAAAGTTATCTGAATAAGAATTCTTATTGTTTTTGAACCTCACCCAGACTTAAACATGCTGAGCAGAGGTTTCAGATAACTCTATGATGAGTGCAAAATGAATGAACGAATGAATGCTGTGCAGTTTCATCACTCGCACGAGTCCTAACACAAAATAAAAAGAGAAGCTCATTGTGCTCTTGAGTAACGCCGCAGTAACGATGTCGGACAATGCAAAACGGCTGTTATAGTTACATCAAAGTAATTAGTTAGATACTCTATACTGAAAAAAGTAAGCCGATATTCCATCACTTGTTGGAGTGCCCAACTAGAATGGTCTTTCTTGACAAAATGTCAGTCAAATTATAGACAACACAATTTAAGACACATCATTATTAGATTGATTCTTTCACCAAGGATAACAAGATGGGAATTACTCATGAGACTAATTGGGATTGACTCTTTGTCATATGTAATTGTAACAATTTATCAAAATATTTAAACGTCTTTCACTTTTGTATATAGTGAAGAAAGTCTTGCCCATCATTTCAGAGTGCTGTAACCTGCAACCTTTTCCTTTTGATTATAACCAAAAGCTCATGACCGTATGCGCACATAGACTGAGCGATTATCCAAGAGCGATATAGGGAATGCACACGCCGCACCCAACCTTCTGTCAATCACTCGCTTCAGACCTTGAGATACTTGACTGCTCCACACTTTCTGCTGAAGGCAGGCTCCTTTTAGCAGGTGGAGCTCACGGCCTCAATGTGGAGTTGCTTGATCTCTATCCCCACCTCGTTTCACTTGCACAGTGTCTGTTGCACGCCCAGGTCTGCTCTTCATGACGGGCACCACACTCCACAACTAATAAAGTGAAGGAGTCCCCCAACCTGGACCCCTTTCTACCTACTGCCTTTTATCATAGAACCGGTTGACAAAAAGCAATCCTTATCAGAGCCCACAAACATCCAAGATACAGTACATGCAACAAACAAGACCGCAGAACAGGGTATTGTTTATCTCCAATATATACTATTGCCAACACTTGTTGATTACCAGCAGCAGCAGTGGCTGCTCCATCATCTTCAGCAGCACCTTCCCCACCTACAGCTCCCGTGAAGCTTCCCCCATTGCTCCAGGCTACAGTCAGGCCTGTACTGGGGGTTCCTCAACCACCTCTGTCTCCACCAAAGACTCCCTCATCACCTTCCATGGACCCGGCTTGGGTCCCCCCCGCTACATCCACTCCATCTAGGGAAAATGAGGACGACCTTTCCCTTTGTTTTCTATCCCCGCCTTCACTACTGGATTTACCGGAACACTCTGCAGGCATGATAAGATCGGCGATGAAGACTATTCCTCTCACACCCACTGTAGCCAGATCAAGAGTCCTATCTAACATTCAAAACTACTCCCCATACGTACCTCCAAAGCCACCTAGGCGTCCAACTCAAATTCTCCCACAAAATCCACCCGTCCCTCCTCTAACCCCATAAGTATTCCACCCCCCCCTCCTGCTCATTTAGCCCACCTCCCCCCCTAACCCAGCACCAAGAAACCCTCCACCTCCACTCCCCCCTCGTCCACCACCCAACTCAGCCTGCCCCTCCCCTAACCCATCACCAAAAACCCATCCACCTTCAACCCCCCCCCGTCCAACTCCCAAGAACCACCCGCCTCTCCATCCTCCTCCCCCGCCTTCCCCTTCCCCTCTTTTCTCTAAACACTAGGATGCACAGGGTCTCTGCTTCGCAGCCACTGGCAGTCTAGTTAGAGGAGAGACCCGGCTGGGGCCCTGTCATGAAGCCACCTGTGCCATTCCTTAGTGATAACACAAAGAATACATTACAGAAAAACATCTGAGTTAATCAGTCTAATCTGGAAAATCTAATTCTTGTTCCGTGTAGAATCAGCCGACCACAACCGTTTTCGTCATTTGAATATGTGTCTTTTAAAATACAACAAAAACAATCTCCTCCAATACTTTTCGTTGTCCTATACAAGCCACCGCAGTCATGTCACAGTTTTATTCACAGTTTTATTGATAATTTTACCAAGCTGCTTTCAGTTGTATGCACAGATTTTGATAGTTTGGTTATTACAGGTGATTTTAATATTCATGTGGATAATGTTGATGACAGAAATGCAAATGAGCTGAGTTCTGTACTTGAATCCTTTGATCTCACTCAGCACGTAAGTGGCCCCACCCACAGCAGAGGGCACACTCTAGATCTGTTAGTTACAAAGGGGGTGATTATTTCAAATGTAAACGTGGTCGATGTTGCTCTTTCGGATCATTTCTGTGTTTTTTTTGACATGTGTTTCACTAACAAACCACCAGTGGACTCTGCAACTGTACAAAGAAGACACATAAATGAAAATACGGGTGAACTATTTATGGAAATGATAAACTTTGAGAATGCATCGTATTCTACTGTAGATGAACTGTTTAACTCTGTCACCTCTAGTGTTTTGAATGTTCTGGATACCGTTGCCCCTGTGAAGGTTAAAATAGTGAAAAATAAGCAGAAGGCGCCGTGGGCTAAAGCAGACTCGGTCAGGGCACAAAAGAGAAAGTGCCGGAGGGCCGAGCGGAAGTGGCGCAAGTCCAACCTCCAGGTAGATTACGAGATCTTCAAAGATAAGTTGTGCGAGTTTAACCGGGTGCTACGTAGTACGAGAGAAAGGTATTTTTCTGAAATGATTGAAGGCTGCAGCAACAATCTGCGTGTTCTGTTTTCAACAGTTAATAGATTAACAAACCCCCCTGTTCAAATGCCATTAGAGCTTACTTCCAAACGTAAATGCAATGAGTTTGCTAATTTTTTCAATGACAAGGTTCAAGGCATCAAAAGCGCCATTGTCTCCAATCCACAGATAACCATCCAACAGCCAGAAAGGCTCTCTGAGCTAACTCACTTTGCACCTGTAAATGATAAAACTGTCCAAGAGATAATCTCCAGTTTGAGCTCCTCCACATGCAGCCTGGATGTACTACCCACTAGATTTCTGAAGTCTGTTCTGAGCAGTCTGTTACCTTCACTCACACAGATAGTAAACATGTCCCTTCATTCTGGAATATTCCCAAAGGCCCTGAAAACTGCAGTCATCAGGCCCCTGCTAAAAAAGAGCAGTCTGGATGCCACTGTACTTAACAACTATCGTCCCATCTGAAATCTGCCATTTATGGGGAAAGTCCTTGAGAAAGTTGTCTACCTACAGCTTACTAGATTTCTTATAATCAACAACTCATTTGATATGTTTCAGTCCGGCTTTAGACCCCACCACAGCACTGAGACTGCTCTCGTTAAGGTTACAAACGATATCCGGCTGAACACTGACGCAGGCAAAGTCTCAATCTTAATCTTGTTAGATCTAAGTGCTGCCTTTGACACCGTCGACCATGAGATCCTCTTACAGAGACTAGAGGACTGGGTTGGCGTCACTGGCACCGCCCTAAGTTGGTTTAGGTCTTACCTTGAAGACAGGAAGTACTTTGTGGAGATTGGAAACTGTGTCTCAGATCATATGGCCCTGACCTGTGGAGTCCCACAGGGGTCGATCCTGGGACCTCTTCTGTTCAATCTCTACATGCTGCCGTTAGGTCAGTTAATACGCAGAAACAAAGTTTCCTATCATAACTATGCAGACGACACTCAGATCTATGTCTCACTGACTGCAGGAGAACATGGACCAGTGGACTCACTCCTTCACTGTATCCAACAGATCAGTGAGTGGATGCAAAACAACTTCCTTCAGCTAAACGCAGACAAAACTGAAATGATTGTCTTTGGTCCCCAGAAACAAAGAGAGAGCGTCATCTGTCACCTACAGTCTCTCTCCCTAAAACCTTCAAACAAGGTCAGAAATCTAGGGGTAATACTGGACTCAGACTTAAATTTTAATAGCCACATCAAATCAGTAACATCAGCAGCTTTTTACCATCTAAAAAACATTGCCAGGATCAAAAACATAGTGTCTAAAGCAGACTTGGAGATTCTTATCCATGCATTTGTCTCCAGTAGGTTAGACTACTGCAATGGCCTGCTCACAGGTCTGTCCAAACAGGCTGTAAAACAGCTGCAGTACATTCAAAATGCAGCAGCTCGATTCCTGACTAGAACCAGGAAGTACGACCACATTAGTCCAGTCCTCAGGTCTCTGCACTGGCTTCCTGTGGCTCAGAGAATAGACTTTAAAACAGCTCTGCTTGTGTACAAGTCTCTCCATAGCCTCGCACCAAAATATATTAGTGACATGTTAGTCCCATATGAACCAGCCCGGACTCTGAGGAGCACAGGGACTGGACTCCTGTTAGTGCCCAGAGTCAGAACTAAACATGGGGAGGCTGCTTTTCAGATTCATGCTGCTAAAATCTGGAACAGTCTTCCTGAAGATGTGAGACAGGCCTCCTCTCTGACAATGTTTAAAACCAGGTTAAAGACGGTTCTGTTTAACTGTGCATACAACTGAGGGATTTTATATTTTTATCTTTCTTTTTAATGTTCTGTGATAATTTATGATTTTAATGCTTTCTTGTTTTGTTCAGCACTTTGAATTGCCTTGTGTATGAATTGTGCTATATAAATAAACTTGCCTTGCCTTGCCTTGCCTTAAAGTTCCGTTGCCTGCGTGCGCATGCCCGACATGTGCACGAGCCTGACGACGCAACATTTGTAAACAGCGATGTTTACAAATGACGCGACGACGCCCCCGTGTGTCGAGCCCATAATAGTTCCAGCAGTAGAAGTTGTAATAGGCTGAGTATTATTAGTAACAGTAGTATTAAACCTGTGATGTAGTATTATTATTGGCTGTCATAAACATATATATCAGTGGTGGTGTAAGCTGGTTGGTGTTTTTTGTACATTTACTCCGTACCCAGTGGTGTTAAACTCCAGTGTCTTGCCTTTAGCTTCAACTGAGGCCCCATGATGATCACAAGTCTCCCATCACAGTACTAACCAGGCCCTGTGTCGCTTAGAGTCTGATATCAAACAGGATCAGTCTTTTACTTCCAGGTCTATAGTACTGCAAGTAATCAAAGTATGTTGTATAAATTGACTCCCACTGATGTCTCCTGTTGTTGTCTCCTGTTGTTGTGTCCTTGGGCAAGAGACTTAACCCCACTTTGCCTGAAGCCCCCGCTGGAAGATCAAGGCTCCTGAGGACTCCCTGCCTGCAGGAGGATCAGAGAGGGACTGGTGCTATGTGGACTGGGTGCAGCTCTGATTAAAGGGAATGGATGGATGGATGTATAAATCGTAGTAGTAGTCAGATCTAGTGACGTCATCCAAAACATTACAGCATCAGGACGACAGCAGTAATGTAGGCTTGTGTAGCAGTAGTAAAAGGACAGCAGCGCACTACACTTGTGTCGGGCATACGATAGTGAGGTGGCGCCACCCAATGGTAGGAGGCAAAGAGTGCATACAGAAGACAAATGGCAAATTTGATCAAACAGTAGCAGTAGTACCAGGACGACAGCAGTAGGACATGGGAGAAGACAGACAAGCATTAGTAGGGGGTCATGGTTTAAATTGAAAATACATTTTGTTTTCAAATTGATTTATTTTGGTCCTTTAAAAAACAAAATTCATTTACTAATTGAACTCACAGATGATAAAATTTTGACTGAACAACAAATTATTATTATGTTCATTTCAGAACACGCATTGAGAATGCACATCTGAAAGCCTGTGAGAGCTATCAAAATCATGACGTCATAAGGTCACGTTCAGACAAAGTGCTGAGTTGCTGAAAGTTGTGCGTATCGTAATCGTACCACTACACTGGCCTCCGCTGGCTGGAAACGCTCATGGCAGCAGTTAGGGCTTGGTTCC